TTTCACCCTCATGAAAATTATAGCCTATGCGTGATTCAGATGTATAAGCTACTGTAGTTTTATCAAAATCCATTCTGTAGTTTTTACGTGAAAGAATAACAAACATCGATACATAAATTTCTATCCATACTTACTCACTACCTTTCGCATTTATAATATTAGTAACATACATGTTATTCAATTGTTACACTAAAGTAAATAATCATCTATCAACTAACTAATGTAAAACATAAAAACTTATTGGGGATATAACGCTATAAAGGATAATCAATATTTTTTTAGATAAAACATAGTATATTTCTGATTCCGTGATACACATCTATCTTCATTTTAAGATCTGTTTACTCATGAAAAGCTAAACTGACAGATAAGCATACTTATAGGTATGGATTGAGAAATAAATAAATTACAGATAATTTATTTATTTCTCAATCCATATAAGTATGTTTATCTGTCAGTTCAATCCATGTCTTCATGGCTTAAAAATATGTAATTTCTTTATCGCCATAGCTTTCTGTATCTACCCATTAGGAAGAAGATAGCTGTAGATGTACCTACGTATAATTTATTTGTTTTAATTTTTAAAAACGGAACGATGATTGCCGACCAATGAGACGCGTCCCCAACTGATTGTCAATTAGCGACATCAAACGGGCTTTTTGCGAATTAAGCGCGCGTTTTGTGTTCATTTTTTGTCCGGCTGTCGACGAGAGCGGACGCTTGATGAGTTTTTCCGTTTCGCAGTTTCATTTTCATATTTCCGTTTGTCTGAATACGAGGGGGACTACAATAAGCTTACGGTTGTTGGGGGATTTAAATATTGATGATGCGTATAAATTACAGGTTGGGAGTTTGCCTACATAGCTATACGTACATTGTGGAATTAATAATTGCTACATGTTTTTAATATGATTATTTATTGTATATGTAGTATTTAAAATATAAATGCTCACGACGTTTACGATGAAAGTAAACTAGTCACAGCCTCGTCAACCTTATTTTTTTTTTGGAACAACAACGTTAATATGTGAATTCTAAGAGTCTAAGGAATAGGTACCTAATATATTGCAATAATCTAATACGGAGTTCTTCTGTCTTGATATTTAATAAACCGATATCAAGATTACGTTATTTTAATTTTAAACTACAGTCACAATTCCACAATCACACTTAGGTACTATTCAGTTTCAAATTTATTTTGACTGAACATAAATATTCAATAGACAAATAATTACTTATTGTGTAATTGAATAAAACATCATAGTGTACATGTATCTATAGCATTCTAAATTCAAATAATCTGAAATGAAACAAAGCAAACAAAACTGTCTGGTTGAAAAGAACATAACAACAAAACCTATAGAACGAACCAGCCAGTATCGAACTCTATTCGAAATGGTTCCGGAACGGAGTCAACAAAGGGACGTTCTGTATTTGAAAAAAGCCCGCGAATGCGAACGCGGGTCCGCCATTAGCCGCTCCCATTTGCAGCACATCTATAGACGGTGGTTGTGCCTCTTCAATCTGTACCGTCAACAATCGTAGGGGTGACACAATTAAAAATATACCAACATAAAACAAAATATTTTTTACCAACATAAAACTATTTCATCGCTAACTGTTAAATTAAAAAAGAACTAGATACCTGACGTGTGAAGTTAAAACAGCTAGTTTGCATGAAAAATATTAAACTAATAAAATGAGCAAAACTAAAACGTTTACAACAAAAATTTTAAGAAACGGCTTACCGTTTCTTAACATTTAAGTATTATAAACACTATTTTGTACACATTTCGTAAACTCATCAAAGATAAATGCGTATATTATATAAAATATAGAAAAATAGATATTTTTTATTGTTGCCACTCATTAAATAATTGACAACCCTACATGGAGGGCATGTGATCGAGTGTTGTTCGTGTTTTTATCGGTGATTCATTAGTATGAGAGTGTCTTTGTTACTGCCGGCATCGTGGCGCACTCTACCTAGTATATATTACGAATATTGAACACTACCTGCATCTCGCGACTTCGTCTGCCATTTTTAGATAACGGTAGCTTGTCAGTCCTCGCAAGTGAATTATAATAATTATATTAATTCAAAAATTCAAAAAAAATTCTTTATTTAGATAACACCATTTTAAAATTACATTATACAGTTGTTGAAGACTCCTTTTAAGCATAAAGATGCCTGTGCCAGGAGGCTCCACTCTTCCATACCTTATATCACCACTTTTGTAAAATGTTTCTTGTTTATTATACTATAAATAATTAGTTATATAATTCAATTTTAAAGTACATACATTATAGGAAACATTGTATTCAATCTATCTTAAAAATTCTCTGTAATAAATAGGAATATATGTACATATGTGTGTGTGTGTGTGTATGTGTGTGTGTGTATGTGTGTGTGTGTGTGTGTGTGTGTGTGTGTGTGTGTGTGTGTGTGTGTGTGTGTGTGTGTGTGTGTGTGGTGTGTGTGTGTGGGTGTGTGCGTGTGTTTGTGTGTGAATGTAATCTTGCACAACAGTTTTAGCATTGATAACAATGATGCAGCAGTAATTCAGTTTTATTATAATTTAATGTTTTTATCCAATCTATTAGTATATTTTTACATTCACGATAATTTTTAGGGTATATAGCTATCTTTTCATTTATTGTATTATACAAGAGTGCAGTTTGCTTTTCACATTGTATACTCGCGAATTTGGTTTTCGTTGTTGGCACTGATACAACTTTAAGTTTCCTTCTTTTATTTTCTAAAGCTGGGTCGTATGTAATTTGTTTATGCTTTTTTAAAACTGTTTTTAATATGTACAGTTTTCTCACAGACAAAAGATCCGTGATCCGGTATAAGTCATCAGTAGGAAATCGTCGGTTTTTCAAGTACATTACCTTGAGCAGAGCTCTTTGAGCTTCTTTAATGAAAAGTCTGTTAACATGACAAAGTAACGAAGCGGCAGACAGACACATTTCCGCCTTTATAATATTAGTATGGATTTATTGAAACCTTTCTCAATTTCTAGCTTCATTAAGTTATTGAAATGGCAAAGAATCTCTGTCTATCTGATGGAACGTAGCCACCAAAACATTAAGCAGGTACTAATAATAACCCTGGACAATCCAAACAGCGCCATCTTTACCTAAGCCAAGCAGACCGTCAGACAGTCGTAATATGAGTACTAGACAACTATATAATATAAATAGTAATAAATACTTAAATACACTTTTTTGTGTATCGAGGGAAGAATCGACCCACGACTGTCGAAAGTAAAGCGGTGTGCTAAACCGCTAAATCACCGATGCCGCCATTTCATTGTTTGCAAAGTGATCTATTTGGAGGCAGATTTAAGCGATTCAAAGTACACTTAATCACACATCGTACATCGTATAAGTACTTCGGTAATATTCTATTCACTGAAATAAAAACATAATTTCCAATTTAAGTACTAAAACTTAACTGAACTAGACATACACAAATGGGTTCTAAAATCTTAGATTCACTTACCAGACTACAAAAGTGAAATCTCCATGAGAAATCTAATAAGAAAGTAACAACAAAATCCCTGTAAAGTGGGCATTGAAAAGAATCGGGCTACAAACCTAATTTACAGGAAGGGTAAACAAAAACTGAGGTCCTTGTCGAGGGAGGAATCACAATGTGAAAGTATTACCCCTTCATGTTTAAGGAGAATTTACACTGTTGCAGACATTTGCTATTTAGAATTTGTAAACTGAAGTAGAAATTACAATATTTGTAACATAGATGTAATTTTTTTTGGATGTTTTTAATATTTGTAATCCTATATATATTATTTATAAAGGCGAATCTCTCTGTTTGTTACCCATTCAAGAATAAACGGCTGAATGGACCTTATTATATGTATATAAGTATTTTAATAATTGTCCACTACCCACATGACAAGCTTGGAACACGCTGGATAACGCTGTGTGAAATTGTTCTGAGATCTCAGAATGAAAATATGTCATATTTAGAATTAAGATTTGAACTCTAAAAGTCAATATTATGAAACAACTATAGGTGAAAGTTATAAATAATCAATTAGTGAAATATAAGCAAACATAAATATTAGAAAAAATCTGTGGTGAGTTACAAAGTGACAATAAAAGTAAACATTACAATACCAAAGCGGGAACAGACCCTCATCTCTCAATCCCTTTGAGTCCGTGACCTCGCATGTAAAGCAGCTTGGACATAGAGGGGTAAAAGCTTTCAGAACAAAGTGTTGCCACTACATCTTAATTAGGTGGTTTTGATATTTAAAATTGATATTTTTGCACTTTCATAATTAAATATGGTAAATGTTAAGAAAATATATTTTATAGGTTACTCAAAATTAGAATAGAATAGAACATTTTATATTGTTTATACAAATTAACTTAAAAGTAAGCAATTTTAAACAGACTCATCACAAGAAGAACAAGAAAAGCAAGATCTAAATCAGCTCTTTGAAATAATTTTTGTAAATTTACATTTTCTAAATTGTAACGTGTAATACAATCTACCAACTAGCACTAATTAATTCAGATTTCTTTGTACGGATCTCTACATCATCTAAAACATGAAGGATATTACAGATTATGGAAGCTATGATCATGTAAGTCATCAAGAACGACAATATAAAAGGCTTTATAATATATTTTGATATGTCCGTAATATTAAGTGTTATTAATTTGCAGGTATCTTGTCATTATAAGTGATATCTGCCTGTAATTAACTAATTTGATTATACGTACGTTATTGTTGACAGTTTATAAAATTATTTGCTTAAATGTATAAGTTGTTCATACAATAATAAATAAGAAGGTATTCTGTAAGAGATTGCTTTAAGAGATAAGTCCGCATTTTGTTAGCATATTTATATTAAATTCTTTTTTTGTAAATATTGTTTGTATGTTCAATAAAGAGTTACTTTATTTTTATTAATAGTAAGAGAAAAATCAAGATGTGACGTAGATCATTACAGAAAGTAACTCACCTTAGCCTGCTCCTGCTGTGATAATAGCTGCTCTCGTACCATTTGGAGCTGGAGTATCATTTCGGAAAGCTGCCGTTCCTTCTCGAGGACGCTCTCACCAGCTAAGGCTTGAAGAGTAGCGGAATCTAGGACTCCTCTTCGATCGCTGCGGACAAACATATAATTATTAGCAATTTATTGAGACTATTTGACTTCGACTAATTGGTTTATCGGTGTATTTAAATATAGAAGGACTATAGTTCTACATGTGCCTAAGGATATAAATGGAAGTATTTTTTATTCAAATGATCTTAATATTATAATAAAAAGAATACCCAATAATCTCTTTACTTTCCCATTCTCAATACAGACTTAACGGACAAAATTTAGCATTTCTTGCTAATTTTTGTATCAATAGCTTTACCAGTTTCAAATCTCGCGGAGGTAGATCATTCTACACTGTATGTTTTTTTACACTACTATGGTGGCAAACAGGCATACGGCCCATCTGTTGTTGGTACACTGTGACTACTAGAGGGTTTCTCCATCGGATATAGTATGCTCGAAGTAATTTGAGGTACCTATACCTATGTTAACTGCCAGTTTAGATTGCTGATCTATTGAATATGTAGCTTTGCAAACCTACAGATCTAGAAGGAGCTTGACTAATTACTGTAGTAGTATAGTCTCTACATACAGAAAGACCTATTTTTTTATTGAGGGTTTTGGGCTATTTTCAGGTGCTAAAACCTATGGCACTTCGACCTACATAGATCTATTATGCTCGCCCTTTCTCAAATTTCGCTGCATAGACCAGTGAGGGACACGAATAAACACAAAGGCTTACATTATTTTTAATTTAAACCTATTATGCATAGTTTAGATGCTCAGAAAACACTGTGTACCCTTAGCGTTGATATTTATAAGGATTAAGATATGTCGTATATAATCGTATGCATTGTAAACACGGGACGGAGATGATACAGCCGTGAAGAGAGGATGGCACTGAAGCGAGCTGAATTATTCATAACAACGGCAGATACTCCTTCCTGCTGTGTAACAACAAACAAAGATTGTACTTGATCCAAAGTTCTACGTGAGTTTAGAATGTTTAGTTTGGTACCTTACTATTGAAACTCACTGAGATTCTCGATCAAAGATTTTGATACAATATAGCACTCACTAAATATTATTTCTTGAAATATGTTTATGTAACTAATGAAATTGGTCAAAGAGCTTTGTTATAATGTGATTTTCTAATGAAATTATTTTTCTTTCAGTGATGGAATATAGATTTGTCATATATACATATATAAACCGAATAGTAAGTATAGTACTATTAAAAACTTTTGTAATCAAGAGTATGACTTATGCTGAATCAATTCTTACTACCTACCCCATACAAGTGCATTATGCTTTGGGAATTACAAGGTTATTAAAAATAAATAATAAGGTTCAATTTAATATAAATATTATGTGACTTACAAAAAATATAATTTTTATGTACCCCTACCATTTGTAGCGGTGGAATTACATAGTGTATTTCCACCGCTACAAATGGTAGGGGTAGGTTACTACAAATAAATGCAACTGAGACGGTCTTCCATTATTAATGTTGTGGGATTCGCTCTTTCCGAATATTATGACGTAACATTTTGACAAATATCTTTATTAAGTAGGTATGCCTAGTGGTTAAAGAAAAACACGATATTTTTAGGTACTTAAATTGAGAAATAAGAATACGGTAGTTATACATACATACTACTGCTACATGCTACATATATATCAGAATAATAGGTTTTACTTATTACCTATTATATCTATAGGTATGTCGGATACAAATTTATATAGAACTATAACCACACTTCAAAGGTAACAAAACTATTATGACTATGATTACACTATATTCCATATTCTATAATTCGCTTCAAACTCTTGTCTACACATAGTGAGGAAGTATTTAATGGAGCTTGAAATAAATAAATGTGCAGGAAAACATATATAAGAAAAAAAAATCTATCGGTACTGTTTCTTTCATATCTTAGCAAGCAAACAAGCATGTTACAAAAGTGTGGTAGAGCTCGGACAGAAACTATAGTCAAGCATACACCATATTTGACCATAACAAAAAATTGGATCAGCATATACTTGTTTTCGTACCGCAAAAACAGGCCACTTTCTCACATTAAACGAAAGGGCTCACATATATGTCGGCCACTCGATTTAATAAGTCCTTATTAAGGTTATTACTGTACAACTGTTACTTGTCAGAATATTGTTCACGATTTCACAGCCCGCTCAATAAACGAGTGTGCCACGTTTAAATCTATCATGTTTACATTTATGAGTACACTAGTGGCAGGTCTTGGTTTTGCCTGGCTGCTCATGATATTTGTACATATACACATAATAGATACTCTGATATGGTGTTACCTACCAGTGAATGATTTTTTAAATAAGTTCAATGATTCTAACGTTTAGTTTTGTCATAACATAACTATTATTAGTATAGATTGTGATGCGTTTATCTAAAATTACTTGTGATTTCATTTCACAAATATATCATGTTTAACATGATAGTAATATATAAGCAAATCGTGTTAATTACAATCAGAATAGAAAAAATGACAGTTAGAAAATGTGTACAACACATCTAAATCACAGTAAAAACAATTGCACACGAAATTACCTGGGTAGGTGTTAGTATTACTTGTAGAGTTATTTCCCCACTACTCTACTCCACTCCTCATGTTTAGTTATTCGTCAGTTGATGGTTTTTAAACTTAAGGGTATAGATAGTACATTATAGATATAGGACACGTATAATATACAAATTCGGGAGTAACGAAAATTACTGGCTTAACCGGCCTAATTTATTATTGTGATTTCAAACTATTTAGCGATCCATTCAAATCCAATATAAACGCAAAATTTCATCTAAATCGATCCAGCAGTTTAGGAAGAGTTAAGTTATAAACAATCCAAAAATTTGTGCAACCTTTCATATACGCAATTATTCAATAAGTGGTGCACATAAATTTAGTGTGCGTATAGTAGGTTAGTAAAAAACGTTACAATACGATGCATCGTTTCCAATCACTCGAAATAAAGGCGGGATCGATCTTGATTCTCAACTCGGCGGTAGTCAGTCACTCAGCGTGCTTTATTTTCCTGTTCACTGGAATTGTCACATGAGCTTAATAGGTTATTAACTTTATACAACCATCTATATAACGTACATATACAATAATATCATAACTGTATTCATATTACTATTATTTTATGACGACCCCGGTGGTATAGCGGTATAAGACACCGCTTTTCTTCCGATGATCGCGGGTTGCATTCATCGCACGGTAGAAATATTTGTATTCATGAGTATGATTATTTGTATCGTTCTAACTGTATTCTATGTATATTATGTATGTATTTACAAAAATATATATATCTAAGTATTTAAATCCGTTATGTAGTACCCGTAACACAAGCTTTGCTTACCATGAGACTAGATGGCGCAGTGATAATTGTCGAGGGTTATTATTAATAAATACAGTTACATACACAATTATGTAAATTAGATAAAAACACAATAATAAACAAGACAAAGAGGTAACAATGGGTGGTCTTATCGCTAAAAAAGCGATCTTTTCCAGGCAACCTTAGGATGGAGAGAAGTGATTAGACTTGCGTCTGGTAGAAGTGTAACAATGATAACAATATTGGGAGAAGTGTTATTAATATAAATACATACAAAATAATATAATAAACTCACATATATAAGTATACATAGGTACCTATACAATCATACATGCAGCAGTAATGCTACTATTATGATAACTTTATGTAGGTACAAAATGTGGTTTTTTATACCTAATTTGACACTGCAGAGTGATTTTAATCTTCGATATAAAGGCATAATATGTCAAATACGTGACAAACATTTTTTTAAAGAAGTAAAGTTTGCGTTTTTTAGCAAGTGACGTTTTACACTCTAAGGTAATGTCATAATTTAGTAATTTTCAGATAAGAGACTAATAATTGTAATAATGATTAAAATCTGTTAAATAATAGAATTTACATCAAATTTTCTATAGAGGTACCTATAGAATTTTTTGATGAATATAGTATCTATAGTTAAACATATAATAACAGTTTCAACTATCTTAACTTGGATCTAGACGGCGCTGTGTAAATTGTTAAAAAAAGATACGAGTAACTAGACCACAGTTAACATCATCCATTAGGTGGGCCATCAGCATTTACCTTTCCTTTACATAATCAAATCTAAAGTAACATATATAAACACTTTCTGATCACATCCTATACATGTAAACAGCGTGAAGAGATTTAAAAATAGAAACACTAGATACTACCTAATACGGGTGGCAAAGGCAGTGAATGTCTTTATTAAAGTCAAAATAAAGAACTCACCAATCCTTATCAGTACATTTATTTGACACAACATAGAAAACAAGACGAAAATATAAGTCAAACGTTATAAATAAAAAAAAATGCTTCATAATAAGATAAGAACTATAAAAGGAGGTCTGTCGCCAACATTACCTATATAGCGTAGAGAAAACAAACTGAATTTTCTTACAGTCCATCCCATTTCGATCCCTAACAATAAAAAAAGTAATTCGTTCCACTAACTCCCTAAAACAATACATTAACAAGTAAGTAGTTTATAAAGGGGAGACGAACTAGGGTGAACTAATAGAGCAATCAGCTACCACTCGATGTCCCGATATCGATTCGATTATTCCGATTGGGAGCACACTAGTGCAATGAGTCATTTGCGATTAATCGAATGTTTGTTTTGTATCGAACAACAGATAATTCCCCTCGATGTTTAATAACACTTTTTCATTATGTGAAATTGCGATAGTGCTATTGTGATGGATCGATAAGGATTTATTTCAGCATCGATACTTTGTAGCATTTGTTTATCACCCTTAACGATATGCATTTGCTGGGATTGCTTTTTGTTTTAAATTTAAAATAGAAAGAATTTCGTGTCTTTTTTGTTCAAATTATTGAACCAGGTCAATCAAGTGGGTACTAAAACAATTTTAATATACTGTACGTATATTAAAATTGTTTTAGTACCCCATTGTTCTTTTTCGGATTATAGTGTTTTTTTTTTAGATTTCGTACCCCAAAAAC